AGCCTTTGTGACATTCAGCTCCAACAGATTCCTTTTGACCTCATCAATGATGAGGTCAAATTCCCCCAAGGTTGCTTGGTTTGCCTCCTCATTTAGTGCAGGGGCTTCTCCTTGTTCTTTTGTGAAGACCTCCTGTTGAGTTCTTCACACACCTCCTTGTCATTCTCTATGTATCTGTTTTCCACTTTTCTCAGCTTCATCACTTGCTCCTTCACTGCTGTTTTCCTCCTGATGTGACTGTGGAGCAGCTTTGGTTGGGTCTTAGCTTTACTCGTGATGTCACTTTCATACTGTCTCTCTGCTTCTCTCCTCACTCTGAGGTACTCCTTCTGGCCCTCTGGAATCTCTCCCTGCTCTCTGGTGTTCTGTTATTCCTGTAGTTTCTCCATGTTATTTTACTCAATTGCTTCGCTACCTTACATTCCTGATTGAATCATGGATTCTTCTGTTGCTTTTCGTTTTTCTACTTTCGGACTGGGATAAATCTGCCTGCCGCTTCCTGGCACTTCTGTGTGACACAGTCCATCATATCCTGTACAGTCTTCTCTCTGAGTTCTGTTCCCCATGGTATTCCCCTTTGAAGTTCCTCATCTCATCATATTTTCCTCTTCGGTAATTTAGTCTTTACCCTTCCTCATCTAGGAAGTTTTTTTTAGTATTTCACCCTCCATATAATTAAAAGCAAGTCTGAAGTTGGAAAGCGACGCACCACGCTCCTCTCACAATGTTCTTTATGTGTTCCTCTGGCGACAGTTTACTATCCAACCTCCCCCCCCCCAGGTCTCGTTCTTTATTAGAGTTCTGTAATTCCTTTCCACATAATTTTTAAGTTGTGTGTAGTCTATTTTCTCCAATTCCACATTCCATAACATGGCATTTATTCACATTGAATTCCATTTGCCACTTGACGCTCCAAGCAATTGTTTTATCTAGATCATTTTGAAGGGCATTGCAATCGTCTGCGTCTCCTATCTTCCCCAGTATCTTAGCATCATCCGCAAACATGCTCATGTAATTATGTGTTCCTTCTGGTAGATCGTTTATGTACACGATGAACATTACTGGTGCAAGAACTGAACCCTGTGGTACTCCGCTAGTATTAGTAGCAGTGAGAGTGTGTGTGTGTATGTATGTATGTATGTATGTGTGTGTGTGTGTGTGTGTGTGTGTGTGTGTGTGTGTGTGTGTGTGTGTGTGTGTGTGTGTGTGTGTGTGTCCCCCCTAGAGGCAGTGAGTGTGTTCTTGAGGCTGTGAGTGTGTTTGGGAAATTATGAGTGTGTGATTAAAGCATAAGTGTCTCTTATAAGCTTAGAGAGAGCTTCAAGAGTAACATGGACTTACCTTCAAACCTTGCGTTAACATCACCAATTCTTGCCTGACAACACCTGCGTCACCATTACCACAGGCAAAACCTGCGTCACCATTACCACAGGCAAAACCTGCGTCACCATTACCACAGGCAACACCTGCGTCACCATTACCACAGGCAACACCTGTGTCACCATTAGCACAGGCAACACCTGCGTCACCATTACCACAGGTAACACCTGCGTCACCATTACCACAGGCAACACCTGCGTCACCATTACCACAGGCAACACCTGCGTCACCATTACCACAGGCAACACCTGCGTCACCATTACCACAGGCAACACCTGCGTCACCATTACCACAGGCAACACCTGCGTCACCATTACCACAGGCAACACCTGCGCCACCATTACCACAGGCAACACCCGCGTCACCATTACCACAGGCAACACCTGCGTCACCATTACCACAGGCAACACCTGCGTCACCATTACCACAGGCAACACCTGCGTCACCATTACCACAGGCAACACCTGCGTCACCATAACCACGGGCAACACCTGCTCCACCATTACCACAGGCAACACCTGCGTCACCATAACCACAGACAACACCTGCGTCACCATTACCGCAGGCAACACCTGCGTTACCATTACAAAAGAACATAAGAATGAATGTAAATGCAGAATGCCTATTAACCCATACGAGGCAGCTCCTATTTATAACCACCCAATCCCACTCATATACATACATGTCCAACCCACGCATGAAATAATCAAGGGAACCCCCCTTACCCCCCACAACCACGTTACACGGTAACTGGTTCGACAAATCAACAACCCTGTTACTGAACCAGTATTTACCCAGGTATTTCCGAAATCGAAACTTATCTGATTTATACCCATTGTTTCGTGTTGTCTTGTGTGGATACTTTTAACATCCCCTTTGTTATGTCCATTCATCCACTTGTACACCTTTATTATGTCACACCTAACTCTTCCCATTTCTTGAGAATGTAATTTAAGCTTTGTCCATCTTTCTTCATATGACAGGTTTCTAATTTGTGGGATTAACATTGTCATCCTACGCTGGATGCGCTCTAGAGAATTTATATCCATTCTATAGTACGACAACCAAAACTGAATTGCATAATCTAAATGGGGCCCAACCAGAGCAAGATACAGCTGAAGAACACCACCAATCAGACTTCGCAATCTCAACACAATTTAGCTCGTATCTTGTAACTCTATCATCATTACCAAGCCTCATAACCTTACATTTGTCACCATTAAACTGCATGTGCCAATCTTTTGACCATTTCAAAACCTTATTTAGATCGTCTTGAAGTGATAGCGAGTCCTTTTCCGTGCTTATTACCAGCTCATAAAATGAGATCAAAAGGAATAAAGGGTAAAGGGGAGCGTTGGATGTTCAACTTTGCCAAGAGAATGCAGAGAGTAACAGTCAATCAAATAAGTTCAAGTGCAGTAAAAAGTTCTGTACCTCAAGGCACAGTCCCTGCACCACTGCTGTGGAATAAGTGGTTAGAGAGAAGGAAAAAAAAAAGCAGTAAAGGAACCCAAAGACTGCAACAACCAGGATAAAAAAAAACATTAGGCGAGAAGTCAGGAACAAACTGACATCAAACCCGAAATTAGTGCAAAACAAGTTCTATCTAAGTCCCTATTAATGTTTGCAAAGAAAACGAGATAGCATCTAGATCACAAAGAGCCGCAGAAGCGAAAGTATTAGATAAAATTATTTGCCTATCTTGAGAGGTTATCTTGAGATGATTTTGGGGATTTCAGTGTCCCCGCGGCCCGGTCCTCGACCAGGCCTCCACTCCCAGGAAGCAGCCCGTGACAGCTAACACCCAGGTACCTCTTTTACTGATAGATAACAGGGGCATAGGGTGAAAGAAACTCTGCCCATTGTTTCTCGCCTTCGCCTGGGATCGAACCCAGGACCACAAGAACACAAGCCCAGCGTGCTGTCCGCTCGGCCGACCGGCTCCCAAAAGTCTAGTGGAAGGTCTTACAACCTAAGAAAATGTCTGACTACAGGAGAATTGACAGGTACTAAAAAGGGAAAGATCTACCCTTGAGATCTCCCTAAACGGTGCTAAACAGACGGAAGAAGTACCAAGGAATGTCAGGAAATTACGAAGTGATGAGGAAGGGAAATGATGGTCGTTAAGACGAGATCTTCCATTACAAGACAGAGAGAGAGAAGCTGAAGCTCAACCTCAGCTGACTGAGAGCAGGAATGAACAAATCAATTACCGCAGACAACACCTGTGTCACTATTACCACAAACACCTGTATCATCATTACCACAGACAACACCTGTGTCACCATTACCACAGGCAACACCTGCGTCACCATTACCACAGGTAACACCTGTGTCACCATTACCACAGACAACACCTGCGTCATCATTACCACAGACAACACCTGCGTCACCATTACCACAGGTAACACCTGTGTCACCATTACCACAGACAACACCTGCGTCACCATTACCACAGACAACACCTGCGTCACCATTACCACAGACAACACCTGTGTCACCATTACCACAGACAACACCTGTGTCACCATTACCACAGACAACACCTGCGTCACCATTACCACAGACAACACCTGCGTCACCATTACCACAGACAACACCTGCGTCACCATTACCACAGACAACACCTGCGTCACCCATTACCACAGGCAACACCTGTATTGCTACTTGCAGTCGTATTGACAACACATGAGACATTATTCCAGGTCACCATTTACCACATCCTCCTCCTTCTCCTCCTCCACCATCATCACCACTATCCACATCACCATCACCACCAACATCACTACCCCCATCACCATCATCCCCCACCACCATCACCACTACCACCACCAACATCACTACCCCCCATCACCATCATCCCCCACCACCATCACCACTACCACCACCAACATCACTACCCCCATCACCATCATCCCCCACCACCACACCCCCACACAGGAACCTCTACCATCTTCACATCAACAACCGCTAACACATTATTAACCACAACCACATCAACTACATCCATCATAATCAACCACAAACGCTGTCACATCAACCATAACGACTTGAGGTAATCGCAAACACTACCATTATCACTCCAACCACAAGCAACATCAACCACAACGACTACCATCATCACATCAGCCACAACCCATCATCACACCAACCATACGCACTACCAGCATCACATCAACCTCACCCACTACCATCCTGACCAGCACCACAACCATATTTCACATCAACCCAACATTTACCACCAACGCGGCCTCAACGCCACACACACGCGAACGCCACACACACACACACACACAAATTACCACAGTATACATATATATATATATATATATATATATATATATATATATATATATATATATATATATATATATATATATATATATAATATGCGGCAACAGGACGCTGCGGCACGATACTATCGACACAGTTACGGTGTACGAGGCGACCTCTGAACCAGTTACCGTGTCTTGTACCAGTCACAAGCCCCGCACATCGCGTCCTGGTAGGAAGGTTCTCATCAGATCCAGTCACAGTCTTTTCCCAATAAAGTATGCCAATGGCCTTCCAGAGTCACGTAAATAACCGGCTATCGTCCTGTATTGTTATTTAACATTTACCACTCCGGTACTGACGATATCCAGATGACTGGGTATAGAGAGAGAGGGAGAGGGAAGGAGGGAAGAGAGAGAGAAGAGACTACAAGGAGCGGGCATGACCTGCCTCCCCACCCGACAAACGCGAACTGACACGCTCGCGCTCCACGTTGCCAATATTCGCGGCTGGAATGCGGCGTCCCGGCAACCGCGCAATGCCAGATGTCGCCACACGCTGCCACCGTACTCCCCTCATAGATGCAAGCACGCACGCGCGTGCGGGTACATGCACACACACATACAGTATTCCCACGCGCATACGCGTGCATTCATAACCCAAAGCAAGCGCGCATTCATCTATTTTCCCCCCTACCAAACACAAGAGGTGTGATCCTAAAAAATAGAAAGAAGATACATGCACGCATGAACTCGCAAAAGCAATCACACACGCACGCATGCACGCGTGCGTGCGTGCACACACACAAAAAAAACGCCAACGTGCGCACACACATAAAAATAAAGATAAGACGACACAGAAACACCAACATACACGAACACAAAAACACGCCAGTAGATGTGATACAAGATAAGTGGGCGAGTAATTGCAGCAGTACACGCCGCCACGTACAGAGTTTATGTCTGTTCCAGCAGGAACAAACACTTAGTAGAAACATTCTCATAATATAAACAAAAATACTTAGAGGGATAGGGTGGAAACAGAAGAATTGTTTACCAATAATACCAATAGAGCAAGCGGGCACGGATGGAAGCTTGAGACTCAGATGTGTCTTAGATGTGTTAGAAAGTTTTCTTTCAGCGTAAGGGTAGTGGGTAAATGGACTGACCTAAAGGAGCAGGTTGTAGAGGCAAATTCAACTCCAGAAGCTGAACTTTATCTTAGCGAGCACAACTCTGAGAATACGCAGACAATAACACTGTACAACTGAAGGATAAAATCTGAAACAGGATCAAGAGAATGAGAGAATACAGAAGAGGGGGAGAATAAGAGGATATTAGGGCTCACCTGCAGGAGTTCAATGGGAGTTTGAAATGGGATTAAAGTCAGCAAATGAGATAGAAGTCTTGACACATCTTGAAATACAGAGAAGCAACGGAACAGTTCATGCCTCTCAGGAGGGAAGGGAACTATCAGGGAGAGCGCCAAGCCATTACGACTATATAGCACAGGTAAGGGGTCAGGATAAGGCCTTGGGATAGGACGGGGGAAAGGAATGGTGCCCAACCTCTCAGGTGGGAAGTGGACGAAAGGAAAACAGCATACCTATTGGTCAACAGTGTGCGGAGAAAATGAAGACCAAGAAGGCATGGAAATTCTAGAGCGACATGGGTACAGAGGCAAACTACGCAGGGGTCAGGAATGACCACACAAGAATGAGCAGGGCAGCAGAGCCCCAGTTTGGAAATAACATTGCGGTAAAAGCAATGAGCCAACCTAGGCTGTTATATAGCCATATATGGAGAAAGTCGCCGATACGAGACCATGTGACCAAACTGCAGGGAAAGGGAGGAACACTCTTGGAGAAAGACGAAGTGTGTGAAGAACTCAACACAAAGTTTCAGGAGGTCTACAACCCGGAAGCAGATTGGTGTACAAGAAGAGGTGACAACACGGCCAAAAACAACGCTAAACAAAATTTAAATTAATGTTGAAGAGGTAAAAAGATACCTGGAGGAATTGTATGTAGCAAACCCGTAGGAGCAGACCAGATACCACCATGGACACTGAGGGAAGCAGTGCGGATCTTGCCATTAACTGTGGTGTTCAGCATTACACTAGAGATGGGAGAGCTAACAGGAAGTCTGGAAAAATGCAAATGTAATTCCAGTACTCAAGAAAGGGAGCAGACATGAACTATACATCAGTGTCATTAACATGCATTCCATGCAAAATGCTGGAGAAAGTCATCAGAAGATGGATTGTAGAACATTTGTGGAGGGAAAAGTTTATAACAGAGGCACAACACGGCTTCAGAGGAAAATCATAGTTTAACAAACCTCATTGAGTTCTATGACAGGATCACTAAAACAAGACATGAGAAGGATGGGTAGACTGCTTCTTCCTAGACTGCCAGAAAGCTTTGACTCAGTTCGTCACAGATTATTACATAAAGATGAAGAGAAAGTGAGGATAACACCAAAGGCACTAGACTGGGTACTGGAGTACCAAGTCCTCAGCTATGAGGCCACGTTGACCCTCACAACCTTTGAGGAGAAAAAAAGGGAGAATATGATCACTACATACAAGTTCCTGATGGGGAATAAACAAAGTTGACAAAGGAACCCTACGTAAGCTACAAAGTTGAGGACAAGGGGACATCCGTGGAAGCTGGACACGCAATAGAATTGTAGGTATGTGAGGAAGTTGTGGTTGTGTGTACGGGTGGTGGCCAAGTACCATAGAGTGAAGAGGCTGCTGAAGCCAATGGTCTCCACAACTTTAAGAACAAATAGGATGAAAAAGTTAATGTTGAAAGCGGCCATTAGCGCGTCAGATATAAACCGGTAGGAGGCAGGGCACAGAGAGCTAGACTCGCGCTCCCGTCGTCACTGATAGGTATGCACAAAACGCATGAGGAATTCCCAAGTGAATTTAGAATGCTGAAATAATATGTCTGGTGACTAACTTTGATATTAGAAGCATCTTTACTGACAACAAAAACCCTTGAGCAACCCATCTACATGGACTGATGGGTACGAGGACGGCCTCGCCTCCTACAGGTCGACCTTCCATCTCCAAGGGCCCGAGCGACTGGGCACCCTCCCACCACTCCGTCCTCACAACCTTCACATCCTTCCCCATAACCCATCCATGTGTTATATAATCAAGCTGGCTTAACTCTTCCTCCAGACAAATAGCTCAAGATGTGAGAGATGTGAGTTATGAGGTTTAGCCGCCACTATTTAAAACCTCCCTACAGACGGTAACTTTATGAAGAACGTAAGGTTATTGGAGCTCTACACTCTGCACAGGTGCACTGAACAACTCTGAAAACATGAGCTTGAATGGCATGGTAGTGCACTGTAGAATCACTGGGTTGTTATGTCATGATGTTGATTTTTGTCCTTGGCAGCTGATGAGACAAGTGATGTCATGAACAGCTCAGATGTTAGTGTTTGTCTTATGACACAAACACCACCACATACATAAGGCTTGTCCTTGGCTTACTGAATGGACAAAGCCAAGTGGTTTATTCTACGGGCTCTTGAAACAAAGTTCTGTCACTGAAGTATATATGGAAAATGGAGATGAGATAACAATGATTGGTGCACATCTGACCAAATACTTTGATCAGTGCAGGAACGGACTTCTTCACCTCCACTGCAATATGCAACATTAGTTGTGTTAAAAATCTAAGCTTTTCGTTCGAATGCACTACGGCCAAAAATCGCCGTACTGGAATTTTCAACAAAATGAAAATTAATTTTCCAAATGAAATGGACCGAAAGCAGCAAGTTTTGGGTCCTCTGGTAGGTTAGGAGAGCAGGAAATTTTCCTAACGTTTCCCAATGTCAAGAAAATGGAAAATTTAAAAGTGTCCTTTCCTAAACTACCAGAGGACCCAAAACAGAAAACGGGACAGTACGTTACTGTCGCCAGCCGCTTCCATTTTGTATTACGACCATTTTTGGCCTTATGTAACGCATACGAGCGGAAAGCGAGCTAATTTGTAAGAGAACGGGTTGAATTACGACCCTCACTGACTCTCGAGCCCTACAACTGCGCCAAATCATGCTGTGTCTTGAAGAAACTGAAGGCGTGTCTCCACCATGTTGAGGGCGAGTGACATAGTGAAGACACGCTGTGATGGCCCCTCTCAACATCTTCCACGAATAACATGTTTTTGCTGGTAAATTAAGAGAGGAAGAGCAGTTACGGAGTTTGACAAGGTAGAGTGGCTCTTAGACCAACTGTTTCTTGTTGATATTAAGCAACCCGCAAATAACTTTAGCACCAAACTTCCTGGGAGAAACCTGTTTGTTCCACAACTTTCAAACAATCTGCCAGCTTTTCAGCACAAGCTGAGACTTAAGGTTATCTTGAGGTTATCTTGAGATGATTTCGGGGCTTTAGTGTCCCCGCGGCCCGGTCCTCGACCAGGCCTCCACCCCCAGGAAGCAGCCCGTGACAGCTGACTAACACCCAGGTACCTATTTTACTGCTAGGTAACAGGGGCATAGGGTGAAAGAAACTGCCCATTGTTTCTCGCCGGCGCCTGGGATCGAACCCAGGACCACAGGATCACAAGCCCAGCGTGCTGTCCGCTCGGCCGACCGGCTCCCGACTCCCAGGTGTTTGAGTCATTACTCCTTCAAGGTAAACTGGACCAACAGTGCAGCAAATGTTGGGTTTGAAAAACACGATGTGACTCAAGGAGCTGAAAACTATACAAAAGAAGACTGGAATTACCCGTAAGGTTATTTAATAATCATGTTGGAAACGAAGAAAGAACTTAATCCTCTCTATGTGCTTAGCAACCCTTTACATCCCGTGATGACGCTCAATAAGCCAGGATGGTTGATCTTCACATGTTGTCATATGCGCAGTTCAAACTTTATGGAAGCAAAACTTCATTTCCACACAAGTTATGATCCAAGATCAATACCAGTAACTGCATAAGGCTGCTATTTATACCTGACTAATTGGCGCCACTCACACCTGCACGCAAACAGTCAACCTCTCTTGAATATGAACACGCTGCAATATACTCAACGATGAGTTTACTTAATGATGAGTCTACCTTCCATCCCCAGACGGGTAACTGGGGCCAGTAATCACACTAGAATCTAATCTCTCAATGTACGTTATCACATATACTATTACTGCATATTAAGGACACATATGAATAGATGATTGAACTGGTTAGGTATCAATGCAGCGACACCTGGATAAATTGATGACTACTGATGATGCCAGACTCATCAGCAGCAACGAAACATATATTTTGTGAAGTGCAGATGGCGAGGGAAACATACCCTGGAGGTTTAACCAGATATACCATACCCCGGAGGTTATACCAGATACCTTATCTGTTAAAATAAGATTGATAAAGATTAAGCCACCCAAGAAGTGGCACGGGCATGAATAGCCCGTAATGTTAAAATAGTCCAAAGGGCCTATA